GGAGGGGGAGGGGGTGAAAGAGTGACTAGGGCGTACACGGTTGAGGTGCAGACCGCTAGTGTCTTTTATACGCAGAGTCTTATCCTCTTGAGCCTTGTGACAGTCAAGCATGGACACACTAGATAGGCCACTGGAGTGGAACCTGTACACGTAGGCCTCCACATTTCAGGGGGGGGGGGGGGGAGGGGGGGAGGGAGGGGGGGGGGGGGGAGGGGGGGGGGGGAGGGAAGGGGAGGGGGAGGAATGTTCGTCTACGCGAAAGCTTCGAAACTTCCATGGCTTCGGACATTCATCCTAAGGTTGCATGGCCGACATTGCCATTGACCCAAGGATCAACCATCAAATCTATTGAATCTAGTCAATTTGACTGACCCACTTCTGCAGGACATCGTGTCGATACTGCCGGGATAGCCAGGCGTGCTGGCGATCCCCAAAGCAAGACATTGCGATTTTGTTGCTTCTTGGTGTTGAAGGCACACTTTGCTCGAATCATTGTAGTCACTTTTGAGCATTCACTTTTGCCGCTGGTTCAACCTTTCATTCAATGTACTAGTGCAGGTGATCTATGACTCATCACAGGGGACCGCGGTTTGCACGGGCAACTTCGTTGAAGTGTGTGAAATAGATGATGGCAGTGGAACATGTTGAGTTTACAAAGGAAATGAAGACATGACTACACTACTATGAAGCAATGGAACCAACAAGGGTATATTCACAGCATCAGCAAGAGGGCCTGGCTGCACATTTCAGTGTGCTTTTCGCTTTTAAGGCTGCGGCACTGTGCTGGAGGACAACTCTCTTTTTCATCAGAGTGACCGAGAATGTTGTCAGCGGCTTTGAGTGACTTCTTTCATGCAAATGTATTCTCAAGGGTCAGAGCCTTCTTGCAGGACCATTGCTTCGACGAGGGTAGGGAGTGGCGCAATTTTGCTCCCGAAGGTGTTGATTCACAGGCCCGGTCCTCCAGTTGGAAAAAATAACTAGTAGCAAGAAGCTACTAGGTTGGAGGCCATCGCTACCAGTAGCAAGAAGCTACTAGGAGCAAAGGGCATCGCTACTAGGAGCAAGGACGCTACTAGTAGCTCCTGGCCTTACTAGTAGCAAGAAGCGACTAGTAGTGATGCCCTTTGTTAGAATGACTTCTCTCTGCTGTTCCTAACGACGTGACTTGTTTCTCAGCGCGTTTCAAACACATCGAAACAAACCAACGGTGAAACGTGGTGAATTTAGTTCCGTGTCAGCCCAATGGCCGAGAGCGTGCTGACCTTACCAACAGCATTGACCACAAGACTGGCCAGGCAAGATGTGCATGTTTCCTTTTTTGAATGGTTGCGATGGCATCATAACTTTTTTGATTTGTTAAGGGGCTCGCACTCATTCCATGGCCATGTTTTATGTTCTTCATGTAATAGATTGATGCACAAAGGCATGGTCAAAGTTTACTTGCAGCCTGATATGCCAAGTTTACTTCAAGTCTGACATGCCGTGTTGTGCAGCGTTCATGAGCAGCAAACAGCAAACCCTTTTCCACAGTTGTATGAGCTGTCTCGTGATGGACTTCTCTGTCCTGTACCCTCAGCCTCACCTGCTAAGAAAACCTTCGAAAGAAGCCGATTGCCAGGACGACACACACTTATAGAAATGTGTACTGATTGGAAAGCGGTTTGCCACTCGCCAGCCTAGGTAAACCGCTTAAGGTTCCAGGTGAGTTGAAGTCAGCTAATGCAACCTGTATCCTCTGTGAGGCCTCAAAGAAACCTCCAAAAATCATCAACTCGAAAAACCGACGAGTGAGCGAAATCGACAGGATGACCGCGAGCGTGCTCATCTGCAGAAATCACTAGCACTTTAATACAGCCTAATGGACCTGAAAACAGCCTGAGCAATGGCCTGAGCAAGGGTGGACCACTGGAGTGAATGTGTTGAAAGCAGATACACGGAGGTGATCAATCTCCGCTTCCCCCATCGTGGAACAGCTTCGTTGGCACAGGTATCCACGATGGGCCTGCGCCCCCTGCTCAAAGTTAGCTAGGAACATGCCAAAAGGAACCATGTGACTCCAAGGGTTACACACACACATACACACGCCTCCCCGAGGGGAGGCGAAAAACTAAGGGAAAAGTGCACGTGTGCGCGCAACACGGACAAAAAGATGAAGACATGAAAAGAGGACGAGACAGGTGGTTGCGATGAAGAGGAACGAAGTGCGCAGGGACAAACAATGAAACCCGCCTCATTGTCAGACCTTGGGCGACCTGAAACATGGGATTAAGGTAAATGTAGTTGTGCACGTACACACTAAGGGCCGGACCACTGTGTGCGCAAAAGAAAGAAGGAATGAAATGCCAGGACATGAAGACAGGAAGACATGAAAAATAAAGATGAGAAAAAAGGCGTGTGAAGGGGAACACGATGAAAAAAGGGAAACCAAATGAAGGGGACAGAAGCCGATGAAAGCCGAACCTCATTGAGAACCTGTTGCAAAGACCTCGTTTGAATGTAAGTACACTGTGCACGAGGAAGGGAGGGGTAGGGAGAGAAGAGAGAAAAGAAGGAGAAGGTGACGGTGTTCCCAGCTACGACACACGCGTCCAAGGACACACCAAGAGAAGAAGAGAAGGGTTCCCAGCTATGACGAAAGCATCCAGGGACACCCAAACAAGAAGGAAGGGAAAGAAAGGAAAGAGAAAAAACAGAGAGAGAAAGAGAGAGAGAGAGAGAGAGAGAGAAAGAGAGAGAGAGGAAAAAGAAAGAGGAGGAAAGGGAGGGGCGTGTACCAGGGGCGTGGACAGGTGTTCCCAGCTACGAGCAAGCGTCCAGGGACACACCAGGGAGGGGCGTGTACCTGAGTGTTACATTCACGAACACCGAACACCCCAAAAAGGAAGAGGGGGAGGGTAGGGGGGAGGAAGGGGGTTAAGGCCCCGACAGGTTCCACTGAACCTTGAACAAGCTTTGGTCGCTGCGACCACCTTGTGGCATAAGCCTACTAACGTCCGCTGCGGACACGTTCTGGCATGCTCGAAAGCGGCCTGCTTGGAATTCAATAGTTCATCAAGTCTTGACAAATAACTTTGGCGCAAGCCGCTTACGCTCGCTGCGAGCTGCTCTGTATCCAAGGCAGGGGATACGTTCGACTAACCCCCGTTCAACGGGTCCACAGGGGCCACTCCTCACGGACACCCTGGGCTGGCGTGAAGCAAGACACACTTATAGAAACGCGTACTGATTGGAAAGCGGTTTGCCACTCGCCGCCCTAGGTAAACCGCTTAAGGTTCCAGGTGAGCTAAAGGCAGCTAATGCAACCTGTATCCTCCGTGAGGCCTCAAAGAAACCTCCAAAAGTCATCAACGTGTGCTCATCTGCAGAAATCGCTAGCACTTTAAAGCAGCCTAATGGACCTGAAAACAGCCTGAGCAATGGCCTGAGCAAGGGTGGACCACTGGAGTCAATGTGTTCAAAGCAGGTACACGGAGGTGATCAATCTCCGCTTCCTCCATCATGGAACAGCTTCGTTGGCGCAGGTATCCACGACGGGCCTGTGCCCCCTGCTGAAAGTTAGTTAGTAACCCTTCCAGAAGGAACCCTGTGACTCCATCAAGCCATGTTTACAATTGTTCATTGCTCTGTTTGTAGAAATATGTAGAGATTGTAACGAATGCTTTCAGCCACCTCACACCCCCGAACCACAATCCGGTTCCTTACAGTAAAGCAGCCACACCACCGACCACCCCTCCCTGTTAGACCCACTTTTCGGACAGAATGATGCACCACTGTAGTGAAGTTGCGCAGTTCTTGTTTGCCACCCATCCATTGATCTTGAGAATCCAAAACCTGGCAATGCAGGGCTGCGGCACAGTGATTGTTGGTGTCGGCACCAAAGCGTTTGGCTCCTAGTTTTCAGCTGAAATGCAAGCAGAGTGCAAAGTGGAATCGTAAATGTGGTTTTGTGCAAAGCAACAGGCAAATGTGGCTTTAACTTGAGAATATTCCCAGAATATTCCGTGGCACCTTGAGATTGCCACTCGACTTGTATCCCCAGATCCCTTGACATCCGTATGTCTTTAACTCTTTAACAATTAAATATACAGGTGCCAATCCTACACTTGTTTGCCTGGATTCAGGATTCCGTTTTCGGCTTTCGGTGTTCCACATCCGCCGTAATTAAAACCGTTCTCCTTTTGGCAGTTGCGGGTTGCGACTTTTTGCGCGAAGACGTGAAGACATGAAGACTTAACGTCCTGAGCAAGGCTTCAAATCTTCAAAGTTTCAGTGTCAGGGATTCAGGTCGTCAGGGAAGCTTCAAGGCTTCAAGGTTTCACTTCCTGACCAGGACTTCAAGGCTTCAAGCATTCTCCTTCTTTGATTTGCTCTCTGGTTTAGGGTTTTCATTCCTCAAGACGCAGCTCCGCAACGGTGATCTAGTATAGAATTCCATAGAATTCCTTTACTCTTGCTGTGCGATGAAGAATGTTCAAAGCCTGCAAACTCAACAAGAAGTTCAAGTCTCTTTCTGGGAGCAGTCGGAGCCGCGTAGCGTGAACTCGCGGTGGGTAGACTATGAACCCTGAGCCTAAGCCGAGGTTTGACGCCTGTGCTTGTTCTCATGCGCCTAAATTGAAGCCAGCGCAGAAAACCGACTCCTGAATTCTAGAAGAATCAAAAGGGGTCAGGTGGATTTGGGCTTTCGATTGCAATGCAATCATAAATGCCCTTAGAGGGCCGTTCGATCTATCGAACAATTTCAAATTCTGATCCAACGGCAACAGAAATCCAAGAAGGCACAGCAGCTAGACTCGGTAGACATCATTTGATGTTGTTTGGTAGGATTTGCAGATACTTTGCGTTTTGTGACTGATCAATCGCAACAGACGTCGTGTTGCGCATTTCCAAACCTTGCGGCCTTTGTTCCCCAAACAGTTTATTGTTGGGCTTCTCAATGCTTTTAAGTGTGTCGGCCTTGTGTGGACTGCTGTGTCCGCCTCGCGGCGCCGACCTTTGGCCTGCAATCCTTGACATTTACTGTATCTCCCAGCTCCGGACTGCTGTGTCACGCCTTCTGCCTTGCAATCCTCTACACTTTTCTCGCTCCTTTGTATTCACAAAAAATCTGGTAGACTCTAGTTGCAAACTCTAGTTGCAGAGCGTTCCGATTCAAAAAACAAAACTGTTTGGGGCCTACGGTGGTGTAATTACCTTTGTATTTTGTTTTTGTTCTCGGCAATTTTTCTCCAAACAGTTTACTGTTAGGGGTTCTCAATTCTTTCTTAACATGTGTCCGCCCTTTGTGTCACTGCTGGTGTCCGCCCTTTTCCGATGGCCATGTAGCATTTCTATTCATTCTTCTCCCAGGTCTGTCACTGCTCGTGTCCGCCCTTTTCCGCTGGCCATGTAGCATTTCTATTTGCAAACACAGGCAGAGCGGCGCGTATCTTTTCCTTGTGCAAAAAGGGCCTTCGGTATGCGACATGATCACACGTCGACTCCGACTATAACTCAAAAAGCGAGTGCTGCTGTTACACTCCCCCTTTGTGGGACTTTTCCACAAACCTAAAAGCTCAAGGCCCGTCACGGCGCGTTGCCGTCTGGTTGCAGCAACTCGAAGTCGCTGTCTGATTCCGTTGCCCTCACTTGACGGTCGCCGATGCGGTCATCCGCTGGCCAGTCGTAGTCACAGGGCGTCTCCGCTCCTTCACTTACTGATGGGGTCTGGTTCGCTTCCATCAGCATTCCACAGGCATTTGTTGCCTCATGCTGCAGGCCTGGCGGCGGTGCAATGGTTGATGCCATCGCAAGCTGGTGTTGTTCACCACTGCCTCGTCGAGCGTAACCTCGATAGGCCGATGCAGCACTTCCCAAGCTTCCATCCGCTTGCGCTCTCGTGGAGTCTGGCGTTGACCAGTTGGTGGTAGTAGTAGGCTGTTGACCCTGCCTCAGCTGTTGCTGTTGCAATGTAGCACGGTGTGCCATTGTCCGTGCGGCCCTCCACCAAGGTCAACTGTAGTCGGGGAACTTTTGCAGCTGGATGTTGTTCCAGTGCCATCGCTTGTCGCATGATGTCATTCCTGTGGTACATGCGACCCCCAACCTGGACCCAATAGATGGGATCTGATCCCGGTGGTCTGTCCCAGTTCTTCTCCAACTCTGTCAGCGCCTCAAGCGCCAATCTCAGGCCTTCTGGGATTTCAGACCATCTCTCCATAGGTGGCGCAGGCGGAGGAGGTTTGGCGATCCGCTCCGCTGTCCGAGCCCTTGCACCAGGTTGTAGTGCTGTTGAAGCACTGGCAGTCGATCCAACCGGCGGTCTCATGCCTGCAGTCTGTGGTCCATCCGTACTCGCTGATGACCTTGTCGACGTTGCAGTCCCCGCCCCCCGCCCAAGCACCGACAGGCTCCTGCATGCGCTGATTGCGCAACTGCACCGCTTCGGGCACTCTCATGTCGCGTGGGATGTGCAAATGCGGAGGCAATGTATTCTCTTGTCTCGCCCACTCTCCCACTGGACGTGTGCCCACATAGTAGCTTGCCGCCTTTGCCCCATGTGCAGGACTGTGCAGCTCGAAGAATGTGTAGCCGCTCCACCTGCCTTCCATCTTGTTGTGCATCCGATCCTCATTTGTTGGTGGCTCAATCCATGAGTCCTCCGTCGGTCTGCCCGGCTGCTCCCCACCGATGTACTTGATGGTGACCCTGCGGCCCGTCAGCGCTTGCTCGTCTCGCAACGGATACGAGCTATGGATTGGATGGCGCCTCTGGTACCTCATCTTGCAGTGGATCCTCACCACAAAGTTCTCCACAACCTGCCAACGGTCTGTGGTCCCTGTAGGTGGCACATGGAATGGTGGGTGCCACCATGTTCGTGCGGTCTCGCACGTGGCGGACCATCTTTACCATTGCTCGCGGGCGTGTGGTGGTGTTGTGACTGGGCCCTTTGCCCCAGGATGTGACCAGGCCGCGGTCAGCTTCCGCAATGATGTCTGACTTGATCGACGAAGGCAACGCAGCCAGTAACATGCTTGTTACACGACCTTCAAGCCTTGTCGCATTTGGCTTCACCTCCAGGCGGGTCAATGCATCAGATGACAACCACACTTTTGTAGACTGCATTGACCTCACTCATGAGTGGCGTCCACCAGCTTGCTCCCCCACCGGAGACGTCCCCAATCAGCGGCTCAATCTCCGTGATCCAATCTCCACACCTGAGAGCCGCGTGAGGGGTGCTTTCATCCGGCAGTCTCGGAAGAGTCACATTGATTGCCCTCAGGTCGTCCTTCGGCTCATCTTTCGCAGTGAGGTCTGGACTGTTTGAACCCCACTCAAAATTGGCTCCTCCCCCGTCAGGCTTTTTCATCTCGACTGACGCGGAGGTGGTGGGACGTCGTCGTGGCCTGGTTGCTGTCCATGTTACATGCATCCACAGCCCATCTGACTGCTGCCACACTGGTACCCCATGTCCGCCATGCTTGGTTTCATGGATCTTCATTCTGCTTTTCAGCTCTTGTAGTTCTCGCTCAAGCCACTGAAGACGAGCAACTTGAAATCGGCCTGGACCGTTGCCTGGTGCATTCACACCATTCATTACAGTCCACTTGCCGCTCTCCAACTCCATCATTCCAACGGTGGAGCTGGTTTTTTCCTGTCCTTCACCGTCACATAGTTCATGCCATCGGGGATAGACCCCGCGGTCAGGACCTGCATGTCGGTGCAACCCGCCCCCACGACCTTCATGGTGTAGGCCTCCAGTTGCGCCCAGCATCCCATAGTTCAGTTCTTGTACTCCACGATCACGTCCATGTAGCTCACGTTGTCGACGTTCCCAACTCGACCACTCTTCCGCTGAGCTCCCCTGCTCAAACTTCGACCATGGCCAAGGCGGAATTTCCGGCAGCTCACCTCGTGGTTCATCCAGCGTCTGCGGTGGTGTCCCTGGTGGAACCTGCGTGCCACCCGGTGTTCTTCTCACCTGTACTGGCTGTTCCATTGGCGTGAACATAGCCGTCGTCGGTGTCTTTGGTCCAGGAGTTCGATCTCGGTGACATTGGCCTTGTGTGATCTTCTCATTCAAGATCTTCACCTCATTTCGAAGCTCCTCATTCTGCCTCCGAAGTTCTTCCACCATTTTAAGTTGTCACATCGACCTTTACCTTGATCGAGCCGTTGATGTTCTCCCAGCTGTTGACCTGGTACCCCACGATCTTCTTGCTGTTCGGCCTTCTGGTGACCATCGGTTCGAGCCAAGTAATCACGCTGACCTTTGCCTTGATCAAGCCGTTGATGTTTTTCCGGCTGTTGACCTTGTACTCGATGGTCTTCACACGGCCGCCGTTCCCTCAGTCGCAACTCCATTGCTCGCTCTCTCCCCTCCACAGGTCTCCTCATCCAGCTTGTTGGTGGCGTTGGAGGACCAGCAGAACTCCGTGCGCCTGAATCATCCCTAACCTCAGGCCAGCCCGGTTGGATATTGATGGCTTTTTGGAACTCTTCTTGAGGGTCTCTCCAAAGTTCTTGTGGGCCTTTCTCCATATCCTCACCAGCACTGATTGACAGCCGCCGTCATCCAATGACTTTTCCTCCACATTCTCTTGATCCGCATCAAAGCTTAGCAAATTGAGGAGATCGCGAGCATCAGGGATCATCTCTTCCGACTCACCCACTCCGCCCACACCCGAGTCACCTTCAGGGACCAGTGGGAGGTCTTCCGGCCTTGCTTGCTCCAGCGCGAAGCGATCCTGGAGCTCTTGCGACCAAAACGGGTTTGCCATGGGAGCCAGCAACCAGTCCACACACGCTGTGGATCTCGGTGGTCTTAAAAGCGTTGGGCTCATAACCTGCAAACACAGGCAGAGCGGCGCGTATCTTTTCCTTGTGCAAAAAGGGCCTTCGGTATGCGACGTGATCACACGTCGACTCCGACTAACTCAAAAAGCGAGTGCTGCTGTTACACTATTCATTCTTCTCCAGGTCTGTCACTGCTCGTGTCCGCCCTTTTCCGCTGGCCATGTAGCATGTCGTCTATGCCTTTGTCTCCCAGATCTGTCGCTGCTGGTGTCCGCCCTTTTCCGCTGGCCATGCTGCGTTTCTATTCATGTGTCTCCCAGGTCTGTCACTGGTGGTGTCCGCCCTTTTCCGCTGGCCATTTAGCATTTCTATTCATGGTCTGTCACTGCTGGTGTCCCGCCCTTTTCCGCTGGCCATGTAGCATTTCTATTCATGGTCTGTCACTGCTGGTGTCCGCCCTTTTCCGTTGGCCATGTAGCGTTTCTATGCATTTGTCTCCCAGGTCTATCACTGCTGGTGTCCGCCCTTTTCCGCTGGCCCATGTAGCATTTCTATTCATTTGTCTCCGACCCAGGTCTGAGCATTTCTGTTCATTTGTCTCCGAGGTCTGTCACTTCTGGTGTCTGCCCTTTTTCCGCTGGCGATGCAACATTTCCATTCCCCAAACATTTTGCCGTTACGTAGGGTTTCTCAATTCTTTCTTAAGATGTGTCCGCCCTTTCTGTCACTGCTGGTGTCCGCCCATTTCCGCTGGCCATGGAGCGTTTCAATTCGTTTGTCTTTAAAGTGATTTCTTTACTTTTGTCTCCCAGGTTCGGTGCCTGCACTGCTGGTGTCCGCCCTTTTCCGCTGGCCATGCAGCATTTCTATTCATTTGTTTCCCATGTGGTTTCTGTACTTCCCCAAACAGGTTACTGTTAGGGGTTGTAAATGTTTCTAAGAGTGTCCACCTTGCTGTCCGTCTTGTCTCTCTTGGTCTCCCTTCTTGTTGCTCACTGTGTCCCCCTTCTTGTTGGTCACTGTGTCCGCCTTGTCTCCCTTCTGTTGCCTTTTGTTTCCCTTCTTGTTGGTCATTGTGTCCGCCTTGTCTCCGCCTTGTCTCCCTTCTGTCTCCCTTCGCCTCCGGTCTTGTCTCCCTTCTTGTTGGGCACCGTGTCCGTCTTGTCTCCCTTCTGTTTCCTTTTGTCTCCCTTCTTGTCTCCCTTGTTGTCCTCGTCATTGTGTCCGCCTTGTCTCCGCCTTGTCTCCCTTCTGTCTTGCTTTGTCTCCGGTCTTGTCTCCCTTCTTGTTGGGCACTGTGTCCGTCTTGTCTCCCTTCTGTTTCCTTTTGTCTCCCTTCTTGTCTCCCTTGTTGTCCTCCTTCTTGTTGGTCATTGTGTCCGCCTTGTCTTCCTTCTTTCCTTTACATGTGCCTCCTCTCCCCCTCTCGCTTGCAACCCTTCACATTTGTCTCCCAGCTGCTCTGCCCTGCAATCCTTTACATTTGTCTCCCAGCCCTGCGCTGCGTGTCGCTTGCAATCCTTTACATTGTCTCCCAGCTCCGGGCTGCTGTGTCCGCCTCTGCCTTGCAATCCTGTGCATTTGTCTCCCAGCACTGGGCTGCTGTGTCCGCCTCTGCCTTGCAATCCTTTACATGTGCTCTAGACTGCTGTATCCGCCTCTGGCTTGCAATCCTTTATTTGTCACTCAGCTCTGGGCTGCATGTCGCTTGCAATCCTTTACATTTGTCTGCCTGCTGTGGCCGCCTCTGCCTTGCAATCAATCCTTTGTCTCCCAGCTGTGGACGTCGCAAGCTCTAGTTGCAGAGTGTTCCGATTTTGAAAAACACAAACTGTTTGGGGTCTACCGTGGTGTAATTTGAGGCAGCGCATGCAGGAAAAACTCTTCCGCGTGCAGAGCGCCAGCAAGCCGGAGCGGAACGTCCTGAGCCAGAATGCACAATGTTTGGCACTCCCAACCACTTCTTGAGCGACTAGTTTTTGCAGCCAAAGGAGCTATCCGCCGGGCAAAAGGAGGATAGAAACATTCAGCACCAGACGGAGAAGGCGCAGGGCTTTGGATGGTTATGATTGGTCGGTGCCGTAGTTAATCTCCCTAGACAGATGTGTGGCATTCATTTCAAC